AAGAAATGATTGCAGAGTGGAATTTGCAAACACACCACCACTTGGTATTTCACCTTCTAAATCATTAAATGAAACATTAATGCTTTTAAGGTATGAGAGTTTTTCCAATGACTTAGGAATAGTACCTGACAATGCATTTAAAGACAGATTCAAGAATTCCAAGTTTATCAAGTTGGCAAATGATAATGGAATTCGGCCAAAAAATGAATTGTTCGATAGGTCAAGATACTGCAGATTTTGGAATTCCTCGAATCTGGTTGATATCATGCCTGAAAAGTGGTTACTGGAAAGATGTAGTTCTACAATGGCTTTCAGTCCTCCAATATCCTGGGGAACTTCTCCCTCTATTGAATTCTGTGACACGTCTAGATAGAGAAGACCATTCATCTTCCAAAGGCTCAACGGAAATTTTGATGAAAATTTATTAGAATCCAAATAAAGATGTTGTAGCTAAGATTTCCAAAGCATTCTGGAATTAATCCAGAGAGCTCATTACCTTCTAGAGCTAATATGTCTAAATTAGATAAAAGGCATACCCCCTCTGGAATATGTCCCTGCAATTTATTGTTATATAGATACAGCCCTTGGAGTTGTTTAAGCTTACCAATCTCAGAAGGAATACTCCCTGTCAAGTTGTTATCGTCAAGGCTTAGGGATGTAAGACCGGTCATGTTGCCTATACTTTTGGGGATGAGGCCATTGATGTGTGCATCTTCTATATGAAAGTTTTCAATAGTAGATGAAAGATTCCCAATTGAATTGGGCAGAACGCCATTCAAGGGATTGTTACCCACTTGTAGATATTTCAACATCCTACGGTCCGCCAAAGAATTGAAGAGTAACAACTCACGCTCTCTTGATTCATTGGTAAGTTGATTATTATATAGGAGCAGCATTTGCAGCTGACGAAGATTTCCCAAATTATTAGGAATAGTTCCTGTCAGAAAGTTATTATTTAGCTCCAGTATCTGAAGCTTGGAAGCATTTGTTATAAACAATGGAATTTCCCTTTGAACTGATTGACTCCCAAGTAAAGTCCTTCAAGGTTGGGGAGAGGTTATTGAAACTGAAACCAATCACTTCCAAAGAAGATATGTTGAAAATAGCCTCTGGAATTTGACCAATAAGATTAGAATTATTGTCAAAGCATAATTTCATCAAATTTGATAGCTTCCCTAATTCCGGAGGAATTCCCCCCACTATCCAATTGTTTCGACAGTTAAGAGTATGTAGAGTGGAATATTTCCAATGAATGGAATAGTCCTTTTATTAGATTATCAACAATATAAAACTTCTCGAGTTTGGATAAACAACTAATATTTCTGGGTATGTCTCCAATTATGTTGTTGAAAGATAAGGACAAAACTTGGAGCTCCGTGAGTTGGCATATGTTGGAAGGAATGCAACCAGAAATTTGGTTGTGAGATATACTTAAAAAGTACAGATTCAACACAATATTGCCTTCATCTAGCAAGAGAGGACCAGAAAGGCTATTCTTTGCCAGAGTTACGACAAGTAGTGACGAGATATTAAACAGTGTTGCGGGAATGGAACTTGTTAATTGATTATTGAACAAGGAAAAAAATGCAAGCTGGATCAGATTACCGACCTCCTTTGGAATGTTGCCGCTGACTCTATTCCCAGACAAACTGAATATCATCATTTTTGTGGCATTTCCAATAGAAGGAGGGATTATACCCGTGAGGCTATTGTTCCTAAAATTTAAGACTATGAGTTCGGGTACATACCAAGGGCCTCTCCAGATTTCACCACTGAGTTCATTGAAATCCAATGAAATTACTTGAACTCTCCGGTTTTGAAATAGACTTGTTGGTATACTTCTGTTGAGCTGATTGTTTTTAACGTCAATGACTCGCAAGCGAGGCATATGGCCAATGCCATAAGGGATGCCACCGTGGAAGCTGTTGTTCTGGAGATTGAGAACATTGAGGAAGGACAAATTGGCCAAAGAAGGGGAAATTGTACCTTGAAGTTGCAAATTAGGAAGATCCAAGGCCACAACCATTTGCCTTTTTGGAGTGCAAGTGACACCAAACCAAGAGCAAAAACAAGTATTTTTAGTCCAATTATTGGCGAAAAAATGATTAGGAGTTGTAATAAGATTTTGGAAAGCTAATAGAGCTTGTTGGTCAGTCTCATTTGAGGAAGCAAATGATACAGAAAGTTGAATTAGAAAGAGAAGAATCAATAAGAAAATGTGCTTCTCCATATTAATTTGTGTGTTTTGTATTTCCAATGATCAAAGTTACCATTCCACTATATATATAGCACCAAAACAAATAAAATGTTGAAAAGTATATACTTAGATGTTTGATTATTAACTCACCCTAGAACGTGTATCTAGTCTTAGTTAAATTTAAATTTTACTATTTATTAATTAATTTAGTGTAGGGGTAAAATGGTAATCTAACTTTTCACCTTCCCACTTATAATATGTTTAACAGCCCTATTTCTAGGTTTACTTGCATTTCTATATTAATGCTCCACATTTTCTAAAGGTGTGCGGTCCTTTTTTTAATCATCTCCCTGTTAAAATTCTTTCTAAAGTAATTTTCTATTCCAACGTTCTCAAGGCTGAATTCTACTTATATGAAGTATAGATTAAACATTATCCATAAATGATACTGCCTTTGTCCCAAATTATTTATCCACTTTTGAATTTGCATACTTACTAAGAAAACAATTAATGACATAGTGAGTTTATCATTTTACCCCTATTAATTATGAAGTGGATGAAAAATTCTACATTTTTCAAAGTAATTAGTTATTTAATTGAGGGTATAATAGGTCAAAAAATTGTCCTTTCTTGATTTGTCAAAATAGACAAGTAATTAGGGACAACTATAAAAGGAAAAGTGGACAAATAATTAGGGACATAGGGAGTATTAGCAGAAGAAACTCAAAGGACTAAGAAAATAATTAAATGCTTGGAATGTGAAAAGATATATTTTTAGATAATATCAATTGTACATGTATGTGTAGCCTAGAATAATTACTGGTATATGAAAAGACCCCCCATTGCCCGATTAATGCTACTGATTTTATTTATTACTAAGGTATTAAAAGTGTTTTATTATATATGAATGAATTAATATCAAATTAACAATTAATGAGATGGTTTGTAATTGCCTTATTTATTAATTACAATGATTTATATTTTTCATCTTCTTATCCATTCAAACTAGATTAGATTTCACGTTCAGAGCAGTAATTAGTGGCCATGTTAATTATCTTACTTAGTCTAATTATGATTTGTATTTTTCATCTTAATTCCCATCTATATATTAAAAGACTATTATTTAGAACTGAAAATAGAATTTGAACAGATATTTTCATATTATTTAAGAACTGGATGATAGACATTGAAAAATGAAAGAAACTCATATCATTCAACTTGAGAAGAGGATAATAAAAAAAAACTATCGCATTTATATATGATAGGCAAAAAAGACAGGAAGAAATGGTGTAAAGGAGTAAATAGAATACATGGGAGAGGACTTCTTTTTAGATATGCCTAAGTTCTCATATCTCTTTTGATTCTCCATTAGGAAGATTATTATTTTTTATAATTTCTTTAGCATTTCTAATGAACTCATTGTGGTGTGTGATCTTTTAGCTATTATTATGAGCTTTTGGAATAGTTGTATGTATGAAGTCCAATTTGTTAATTCTTTATCTGTCACTTTTATATGTTGGATGTAATTGCTTTTTAATCTTGTAAAATTTTGAAAGTGTATATATAAAAGTGGAACAAAAAAAGTTAAAAGTTGAAATACCATTTTACCCCTACACTAAATAAAAATATTATGAAATAGCTAATCAATTAAATATTAAATAGTAATTATATAATATTATTATATATTACACTAAAAGTGGAAAGGTATTAAGTCAAAAATTCAAAGAAAAATTATTCATAGAAAATTGTTAGACATTTTTATCCTTTTAAAAAATAAATTAGTTACATTTTTTCAACTAAATTCTAAAAGTGGAAAGGTGTTAGGTCAAATATTCAAAGAAAAATTATTCATAGAAAATTGTTAGACACTTTTATCCTTTTAAAAAATAAATTAGTTACAGTTTTTAAAAAATGTAATAAAATAAAATTGTATTTATTTTTATT